AGAAAGTGTGTGCGAAGTAAACCAGAAAGCTTTGAGTTCTTGGTTTTAGCTCTGCTGCTCTCTAGATTGTATGAGTTGTCCTCTTAAGCTTCGAGGTCTTCTTATTTACAGGGATAGGAGGTCGGTTGCTCCGAACTCCTTTTCCTTTTTCCATTTGGTAAATATTTTCATACTCACAATATGGAAATATCCCTTATTCTCTGAAGAATATGGAAATTCTCTTTTATCCTTTGAGTTGATCCGATACTTCCAGACTTCAAGATTTTCCTTTAAGAGATTTCTTTTTATCCGAGCTTGATCGGCGCAGTTCTCCTGGTCTTGATGAACTTAGGTTATTGCTAGAAAAAATCTTTTAGTAAATGTGCTCATTTCCCCTCTAATAGAGAGTGAGGAGTATCATATCTTAATTGGAACCAATTCATAGGCTTGAGGAATTTGGTGGAGTTGGGTAGGATCGGTTTGGTTGGACAGATAAATTTGTTTTAGCTACTAAATTTCTGAAATCAAAAGTCGACGATGATGAGATAGTGATTTGTAATATTAAATTTTAGGATTCAAATTGGGAAGGAGATGAATGTGATTTATATAGACTCTAGCCAAGAAGATGAAGTTAGAACGATAACAATGGGATTAGTAATTTTGCATTAATTAATTTGGGAACTTTAAAAATAATGTAAGACAAATCACGGAAAGAAGAAGAAGCGCTCTTCAGAAGAACAAACGTTTTCAAAAAGGGACAATTGTAACAAAACTGATGTGTTTTATTAATTTTGAGGTGTAAAAAGGAAATGTTTTCATTGGTAGTTCAAGTTTTTTCATATATTGACATGTTACCTCCACAATCATTCAAAATGCTGAGTTATCAACGTCCGGAGAGTTTTTTCACATTTTGAGGAGAAGTCATAGTTGAATCTGATTTCAAACTTGAAAACGTAAAATTGAATATGGGCATCTGGATACATGTTTGGTTTCTGGTTGGTTTTTTCAGGATTTGGATACTAGAATCAGGATTGGACCCATTAGAATATTGCTCAGGTTCATGTCAAAAAGAAAAACAAAAGAAGAAGTAATAAAGCAGTAAAAATAAAAAAGGTTTTTCACACAAAAGCAGTAAAAAGGTTTTTCACAAAATGCGAAAACCAGAGAAAAGCAATAAAGTAAAAAAGTTTTTTCACTTGTTGCAGGACAATTTCGCTTAGAAGAAAGTTATATTCTCTGGCCTTTTCAGTGTCACGGGATGACTTTTCATTCTCATTTGAGAAGAGAATCAATGTTAGAAAAGAGAAAAATAGATAACTTACTGTTAACAGAAAAGAGGGCAGATAACTTACTTGGTGCTTTCAAGTCTGTTTTCATCGTTAATTTTTTTGGCACTCGCGAGCTTATGAAGAAGAATTCTCTTTGTGTTTAGTTTTCCCTTCAGCTTTCTCTTCTCCCTTCTTCTAAAAATGTATGCGCCTGAACTCTTTTACCCTCAAGGTTTCAGCTTCCATTACAAAAAAAATAGATATATTGTATCACTTATTTTAAATATTTGTATTAGTTATAATTGACACAAACAGGTTTTACATCATTTATAAAACTGACTTTCAATGTGGTGATGCAAATAATTAACATCAGTTAGCTATCAATTGATGCAAATTTATTTTATTTTTGCATCAATTGTTGAATTCAATGTCAATATGTGTCAATTACAAAAAACTAATGTTATCATTTGCATCAATTTTTATTATTGATATTACCATTTGCGACGATTATAATAAATGATGTTAAAATTAATTTAGTTTAATATTATGATTATATTCAGATGTTAAAAATAATTTAAATTTTATTATTATTTTCATAAATATTTATAGTAGTATTATTATTTTAATCTAAAAATTTATGCATCAATAATTTCGAAATTAATTTTGTTGGCTAGTAAATATAAATATTAGGTACTTAAGTTTTGATATATATAAACACTAGGTAATATTCCGCACCCTGCGTATGATGAAATAATTATTATTTATTTAAATTTAGTATAATATTTGAGTATATATTTAATTATTTTTGATCCTTAAATAAAAATTAAATATTAATATTTAAATAGTTTTTTATTTATCTACTATATCGAATAAATTAAAAAAAGACACAATTTTTATATTTTTAATTTGAAAAACAATAATTATATCCATAAATTATCTCTTTGTTAAAGAAAATAATAATTATTGACTCTAAAAACCTTTAATCAAAAAATATTATCTAAAATATTATAATAAAACATAATTGAATATATGATAAACAGTAAGTTGAGAGTATAATGTATATACATAATAAAGCTGAATGTTAAATTTAAGATGTAATATGGTTAGAGTTTTGATGCGTTTTTGCTATGATTGATTATATAAAAAATAATGTGACAAATAAAATTTATTATAATTAGCTTCTATCAAATTATTGATGTTTATCTATTTTATATATTATCTTTACTCCAAATAAGTTTTAAACATTGATGACTTATTAGACCAAAATGTCACTATCGTTTCTACTCGAAATTTTTGAATATATATCTAAATTAATAAAATAATTTGAATTAATATATTACTTATATCTAAATTAGATTAGTGAATGCGCCATAAATTAAATTACTTATATTATTAACATATATCAAACACAATAAATTTTATTCATTCAAATTATTAATAAATTCCCAATTAGTTCATAATTTTATTATTTTATAAATATTAAATATTATTTATTGTATACTAAATATTGGAAAGAGTCTAAATTATGAGCTAATTGAGAATTTACTTTTGGAAAGAGTCAATTAAATAGAATTATAATTATTTACTTTTATTTATAATGACTATAATGAACTCAAATTACAATCAACTTTTATAATGATTATAATAAACTCAAATTATAATGATTTATGTTTATTTATTAATAATTTGAGTAATTTATATTCAATTTTTATAATTTTAATTATAATACATATACAAAAAATCTATATATTTTTTATTATATGGATAATGTGATAATTTATTTATTTTACAAAAGTAAGTTTAAATGAAAATAAGATAAAGATAGATTTTTGGTAGAAAATGTAATTAAAGAAATAATTAATATGATATATTTTTGGTAAGAAATAAAAGAAAGAGAATATCTTAATAAATTAAATGATGATTTATAGAATGAAACATAACATATGTATGTACCTAAAATATATAATGGCATATCATGTTATTAGTCTAGTAATTTAAGTCTTTTTAAAATAATTAGCTGAAAATGAATGTGGCTTGACACATCAGCATAATAGCACCCCTGTAAATATCTACAAAAATGAGGTTACTCTTTAAAAATGCTTCTCAATTAATATATAAGGGATTGTTTCTTTTTCATTTTTTATCAACTACTGATATGGGAGAAAGTATAAAAAAGTTAGTTACATCAGTTTTAACTGATATTAATTTTTTTATCATTGTTTAAATGATGTTAACCAAAATCATTGATTACATTGATTATTTAACTGATTTGAATACATAATTTCATATCAATTTTATTTAAGTGATGTAAACGAATATAAATTTGTATCAATTTTATTGAACTTAAGTTAAATAATCAATAAAAGCATCAATTATGATAAATGATGTTAAATCATATATTTTATATCATTTATTAATAAGTAATTTAAAATTTATATCATTTAGTTTTGTGATACAATTTAAATGATGTAATCAATTCTTTTTTTGTAGTGTTCTTTGGCTTCAGCTTCTTGGTTTGCAACTTTAGCATTCTTCTTGGTGTGAGAAGATATCACTTGCACGAGAGTCATGGCAGGACCAGCCAGATCAAACTTCTCAATGAAGTGGTTCATGAAGCTGCAAAATGAAGCACGTTCGAGATATGTTGTATAATTAGCAAGCAAAAACTTCACCTAGAGTAGCATATATACAAATATATCTCTATGTATAATATTGGACAACTTCTAGAAACAGTCCACATATACTTTCTTTGTTTTTTTCTTTTTGCAGCTTCCTCGAGAACTTTTTGATAGCATGGTCATGGAATCGTGTTATTATTAGACAAACAATGAGCAATTCGATTGAGTTTATAAGATAGGAGGTTTCTTGTATGTTCCTCATGATTAAATTCTTCTTTGAGTAAGATATTTTCCTGGTTTTCCTCTTTTCTTGTAATCATTTTTTTTGTTTTTGATGGTATTTATAATTTGTCCTCTTTCTTTTGTAAAAAAAAAAAAATCTAAACAAGGATGGTAAACAAGAGAATTATAAGAAGAAAAGCTAGCAAACTATACGAATATCATTTGAGTGAGAGAGAGGCAATCTAAAAACTAGATTTAAGTAAAACCCATAAACTTAGGCACATTGGTTGGAGACTTGACAAATTTATGGACTAAATTTGTTGGTTTAACTTCATCTTTGCAGATAAATCGAAGAAGAGCCAATAGTAAACAGTGAACAAATGGTCATGGAAGCAATAAAGCTTGGTATTGAAGTTTCGTTATTACTTAGATCACATTATTAAAGTGTTATACTCTCTGTTTTGTTTTTCATTCCTACTTTCGATCTTTGCAATAAAGTTTGTTTACTTTCGTTCAATGCTGTTATTTATAGATTTATAAAATTCACATAAAAATATATTGGAAATCAAAAACTGTATTTGTAACAAACACAAAATATATAAAACACCTAGTTCAACTAAAAGCAGAAACCATGTGAAACCAGCTTTTCTCTACTCCAAATATTGATCAACTTCAATACAGCAAAAAAGTATTAAAGCAGCCACAGGAAATCAAGTCTTCTTCAAAAACAAGATTCCATAAGAGTTAATTCAAACAAACAAGACTCAAAAAGTGCAACAGTCTTCTACAAAATGAAAATAAATGTTTTACTCAGATAATAAAAGCATAAACCAACTCTTGTAAAGGTGAAGAACTTTGGAACATTATAAAAAAAAAGTAACTCTCAAAAACAACTCTTTGACATTTACCATAATCAGGCTTGATCTTCGGGTTTCTTCTCCTCTGCAGCTTCATTAGTAGAAGCTCCATTAGTCTCTGCTCCTCCTTCAGTGTTGTTCTCCTCAGTTGGCTGAACCTGTTCATCCTCAGGGAGAGGCTCTTCCACATAATCGTTCTCAAAAGCATCAGCAGGAACCTCGTAGATACGAACTTGAGGCTTCGATGGATCCTTCACAAGAACATACTTTCCTTCACTCAGCTTCATACACAGATCAACAATCGACTTCACAATCCCCCACATGTTGGAAGTGTTTAGATTGATCTGCCCTGCGAAATCCTTCGGCTTGTACCCCAAAACCGATAGTATAACATGGTTGAAGTGATCACGAGGATGAACCCTAGAAACGAAACCAATCTTCATCATATCCGCATTAGCCAAGAGAGCCTGTGCGGTCCATTTAGCTAGCTTATTACCATTGTTCTTCAGCTCAGTAGCTAAAACCGCACCTCTCTGAGTCTCTAGCTTCTGTCTCCAATCAACACCAGAGTACTTCGTATCAAACTCGTTAAGAGCATTCAAAGTGAGGAACGATCTCTGGTTATTCAGTTCAACAGTGCTCTGTCACTCACACCTAGCAACTAGATACATACTATCATCAAGCTTCCATCTCCTATACCTATAAGCAATAGAAGCATGTATCATCGCCTAGAGATTCAAAGGTCTTCAAAGAAACTTGGATTAAAACTGAAGTTCTGGATCACATCTCAGTTTCTCAAGATTAGGGAGTTGTCATGCTTTAGCAAGTTTTATGGGACATGTTGCCTTCTGCTAGTAAGGCTCTTGGCTGAGTTTATTGGATGCAATCCGTATGATATGGAGCCGCTGTTCGTAGGCCAGAAGATGCAGACAAGTCAGGACTTGTTTGATGCTTGTTGTGTTAGCAAAAACCAGAAAGTAACATAAGGACTTGTTCTAATATGTTTTTGATTTTACATGATCTGCCCCTTATAAAAATTGATCCTAAATCCGCCTCTGTGTATACTATTTTATTCTGACAAGGTATGCTTCTCAAGGGCGAGTAATGGTATGCGGAGTGTGAGGGTTAGTGATAGAAGAAAGACGCATGGTTTGGGATATAAGTCTGATCAGAGAAAAGAGTGGATACACTGTGAGTGTAAGAACCAGAAGAGGCTACTTATGTGTCATGTTTCAAGGGATCCAACGTTTTCAGGCTACACTTGGGAAAAGCAACGTTTCCAGCTGTAGAGTCTACAATGAGGTCTGAAATTGGAGGCTATAGTGGTGCTTCTTTGATAACGCTAGAGATCGCATTGGTGGAGAAGACTAAAAGAGAAATGCGAGATCATGAAGGTATGGTTTTGAGGTCAGATAGTAAGGATCATCTCTTGCGGAATTTGATATTGTGTGGAAGAAACGTCGAGAAGCTGGTGATTGAAGGACAAAAAGGGCAAACCAATCAAAAGTTCCTCCAAGTGGCCTCTCGCAGAAAGCCGTCAAGGGCAGGGCACGACGTGGGTCACAAGTAAGCGGGTGAATGTTATGAAGGGGAAAAAATGGTGTTTCGGACATAATTGTAATCTGCTTTGAACTTGGAGTGTGCAAACACCAAAGAGAAACAACAAAAGGGAAACGGAATCAGGGAAACTGTTACAGTGGTTCTGGGTTGGAGCTTCTTCAGAGAAAAGAAATGAGAAGGGGAATGATTAAAGTCCCTTGCAATCTCTTAGGAGTGAATATCTTGAAGTTAGTGAGCGATAATGACGGGGAGAGATTGGTATTGCTGCGGAGGGTATCATCAACAAGTAACGTCAAGAGCTTCTCGATCTAGTAGAGCTTATAGCGTGCTCACTTCACCAGAAAATGAATTCAAGTCTGAAGCCGTTTCAGATAATAACATGTTCAAGTCTGAAGCAAAGAAAATATCCTTGGATTCTGTGGATATCAGGGTGCTTAAATCAGAACCTGAACTAGTGAAGAAGCTCGAGTATGCTGAAGAAGAGTGTAATACCCGTCTCCAGCCACGCTGAATACGACGGCGTATTTAGACATTCGTTTCTAAGCCACACAGGCAAAGAAAACAATGTCGCACCAATGGTCCCAAACTCAAGATGTCCCGTGATCAAAATCCACCAACTTCACTTGAACCAAAGCTTCTGTCTACTAACCTGAAAAAGAGGGAAAAGGGGGGAAATAAGGAGAGGGATGAATAATTTGGATTACTCAGGAGAATGAACTCGAATCAGTCCAACTACGAAATGCTATACCACGAACGCCTAGACGAGGCTAAACAGTACCACCAAACCTATGCATTACTATGCACATCACACACATACTATGTCCCACAGACGCACACACAACAAGGAATCAAGTCTGAATAAACTATGGTGTCCCTGCTGGCTCCGAAAGTCCACTCGTCCGCTCAGCAGCACCCGGCTCGTCAGCCCAAAAATGAGTTAGGACCGCCCACGCAAGGCACATCACCATAACCCAACACACAAAAGGATCACACGGTGAGAATAAACTCTTCCCACTTGTGATTTCAACCGCGGTTACACCCGCCACATGCCCCAGGGCAACAAGATGAATTATGACCGTCCATGCAAAGCACGTCGCCATAATCCATCAACACAAAGGATCACAATTGTGATTTCAACAGGTGCCACACGGCCGTCGCATCCTAGGGTTTAGAGTTTAGGGTTTAAGGTTCAGGGTTTTCACATGCGATCCAATTTCATTCTCAACACTTAAATAAATTTCATCACAACATTCTTAACCAAATCTAGATTCTTCACTAATTCAAAATAATTTTTTCACCAATGATGACATCAATAAATAAATAACAATAATTTATAATCACAGAACAATTACTCTTTTTAATATAACCTATAACTTATTTTTATAATAGGATATTAAGACTTGAAATATTTAAATAGCCATTTAAATATAATACACATAATTATTATCACTCAATAATCACAAAATAATATCACCAAAAAAATATATACATTATTTAATACAATAATTATCATCATTAAAATATATACATATATAAATACTAATAATACAATATAGTTATACAACTAATACTCAGCTTATCTATTCATATCTAACAATATCCTAACACAAATCAAATAATTACAGAACTCAGTTTAATTTTATCTTAGCGATTACGAAGGATAGTAAATCGTATAAAAGGATCAGTTCGAAATCATCCTCACCTTTGCCTCAATCACGAACAGATGCATGATGGAAACAGATCGGAAAACACAAGGGAGCTGATAACTTGTTGCACAAGAAACGGCTTGATGCAGCCAACCTTCTCACGGCAAAGACTTACGGTGGTGGATTTCAGTTCCGATGGCAGATCCTTTGTAACGACCCGGATCCGGCCCATTTGAATAAGTTTAAATAGAATAATTTGGCTACCTATGTCATTAAAGTGCACTTATCTTTTCGGTTACAGGTCCCGAGAGAACTCCACAGTTAAGAGTGCTTGAGCTGGAGTAGGACTAGGATAGGTAACCTTTCGGGGAGTGATTCTCAAAATCGTGTGAGTGAGGCCAAAACATGGGGAAAGATCATGTGGTGATTGCAGAGTTCAGTAAATAAGTCGGTTGGGCTCCGGGATAAATAACGCACCGACCGTCGGACAAGGATGGGGCCTACAAGCCTGACGGAGGGATGGGTGACTCGCCGGAATGGGCGGTCGGGGGTGTTACAAGTGGTATCAGAGCCTGTAAGTCAAACTGGTTCTGTCTCAGGAGACTGTCTTGGGGTTCGAGGGTTAAGGCTCACACTATCGGGATCAGAATTCGGGGACGAATTCCTATTTTGTGGGGGAGAATTATAACGACCCGGGCCCGGCCTATTTGAATAAGTTTAAATGGATTAATTTGGCTACCTATGTCATCAAAGTGCACTTATCTTTTGGTCACAGATCCTGAGAGAACTCCACAGTTAAGGATGCTTGAGCTGGAGTAGGACTAGGATGGGTGACCTTTCGGGAAGTGATTTCCAAAACCGTGTGAGTGAGGCCAAAACATGGGAAAAGATCATGTGGTGATTGCAGGGTTCAGTAAATAAGTCGATTAGGCTCCGGGATAAATAACGCATCGGCCATCGTAGATCTTAGTAAAAGGTGCTTTAGATGCACGTGGTTCCAAGTTAATGTCAGATAAAAAAGATTTTGGATATAGTTTTCCTTGCGATGGTCCGGGACGAGGTGGTACCTACGTGCTTATGACTTCGTTTCACAAGAAATCCGTGCAGCGGAAGACAAGGGCGGAACCCACAAGCCCGACGGAGGGATGGGTGACTCGCTGGAATGGGCGGTCGGAGGCATTACATCCTTCCTCTCCGGTGATGTGCAGCTCAAGACGAAGTTGAGTGCTGGCTGGTGGTAGTCTACGATGGTGGTAACACGGTGGCGTTGGTGTCGTGATGGTGCAGCAGCCGCGTCTCGGATCCTCCACGGACGGTGAAGATGAACAGAGGTGATGGCACGATTTCCCGGTGAAATGCAGCGATGGTGGTGATAGCAGACGGTGGCGTTGGCAAGTGAAGACGGTGACTGTGCTTTCTCGATGTGTTCTCTCATCATCACTATGCATCTCTCTTTCTCTTCTCTCTTTATCTCCTCTCACATGAAATCTTCCTCTCTTCATTTTCTCATTCTCTCACGCTTCTCTTCTCCTGATCCCCTTTTCTTTATGGTTCTCACGGCGGCTAGGGGTAATGACGAGAAAGGAGACACTTACACCCATGCGTACATGCGTTTTGGATTGAACAATTAAAGGAGACTGGGCTAAATGGGCTTGATTAATAAAAATTAAAACTGGCCCAATTTTGCAAATCCGGGTCGTTACAAAGAGAGTGACATAAGGAAAAAGAGCTACGGGAAGCTAAGCTTAGATGTTACGTCGAGGTTCAGTAGTGAATTTAGTTTGCAAAAGTCACTCCCTCTTCTCGTTGTTGTGGAGAAGATACTCAGGAACGTCCGTCACCCACTTGTCCATGGGGGATGAAATCGTAGACTGGGAAAGGAACAAACAGAGACTGATTGGAGAGGAAAAGGAAAGTCAAATGCAAGACAACCTTCAAGCAGAAGTGAAGCTAAGCTCTGGAGCTGTTGTGAAGTTCACATTCACGGTCTCAGCATTCGGCCATATGCCACCTTGAGGACAAGGTGTCTTTTAAGGGAGGAGTACTGACAAGTACGGGAAATGGGCCTCATTTATCTGTTATTGGGCCGTTGTCATTTCTTACGTTTCAGCCCTTTATCTTATTACTTACGCTGTAATTGAAAAACAGAGAAGGCATCAATTACGATCAAAACAAAATTAATTTCTAAACTCTCACTCTCTCTCGTCTTCTTCCTCTCTTCTTCTTCTACTTCTTCTTCAGATAGGTCACTGGCCTATCCTCTTCTCCCCTTTCTTCTTCTGATAAGTCACAGGCTTATTAGGCGCCTGATAAGAAGATCCTCGCTTGTAGTGACCTTGAAGCTCCTGTTCTTGAAACGCTCAAGCCTACGTTCAGCTTTAGGAGTGATACGATCGTAAGTCTCGAGACCACCACAGAAGAGGAGATCTTCTGGCTCCTGAACTGTGAAAGATAGCTTCGAGAAAGTGGAGAAAGGAATCTGCTCCAGCATATTCCACTCGGGCTAGATATCGACGGATGACTTAAACGCGGCGGCTTCACGGCGTTGCTGGTGGATATTGTTCCGGTTGAGATTGTAGAAACGATCTTTCTCAGCTTCACGTTTCTTAGCTTCAACCTCTTCGTCACGACGCTGAGGGAGCTGATTACGGTTATGGTACTGATTGAATCTCCATTTAGGTCCGAATTTAGGACGAGGCGGTGGCTTGCCGTCGACCAATCGGATAGAACATTGCTCCATCTTTAGAGAAAGAGAGAGAGAAACCGTGAAAATTCTATTCCCAACTCGAGCAAGTGAGAGTTGTAGAGAACCTATAGCACTTGAAGGCTCTTTACTTGGGTGTGAAGTAAACATGTATTAGCAGTCAAATATTCTTCTTCTTTTAATCATGGTTCTCTTTACAGATCAAACTCAAACCTAGAGGAGTGACTGTAATATTCGGAAAACTTTTACGCATTCTCCGGATTCTTCTTCGAATCATTAGTCAAATCAGCCCTCGAGTCTCTCGCTTTTTCTACTGGATCATTTCTCCCATGGGAAACCATAATCATTATTAACCATTCCCAATTCCAGTTGATATCTTGTCACACACGTTAGCCTAATGCCAGCTTATTAAACCAACATGCGTCTCATCCTGTTAGAGTCTTGTGTAAATCTTATCTCAAAAATCGTGAGAAAACAAAATTATAAGTCATCACCATTGATCATTCTTAAAAGTTTCAAATTTCTTATGACTTCTTGTTACACACGTTAACCTCATACGAGCTTATTAAAAATCCACAAGCGTATGTCTACTACTTTAAAGTTTTGTGTAAAAACATTTAAAAGCAGTAAAAAGTGATATTGTGAGAGATTCTTAAAGAAAAAAAAAAAAAAAAATTTGTGTTATCAACCAAAGACATGATCTGTAAATACACATATGGCACGTATGACATGTAGTTACATTACGTATTTATAAATTACCTAGAATGGTTAACCGATGAAGCAAGAGTCCTCGGAGCTCGGCTTTTACTTTTTAGGGAAATCCTTGGAGAGGCGGAAGAGAACCGTTCTCGTTAGGTGTGCAAGTTTCCAAAAATATTTGACTAATGATGGACTCTAATGATCCTTTTGAAAATATAAAAGCCCATCATTTCGCTGTCATTTCCAAATTTAGGTTTTCAACGAAATTTTTTAATGATGGACTCTAATGATTCTTTTGAAAATATAAAAGCCCATCATTTCGCTGTTATTTCCAAATTTAGGTGTTCAACGAAAACTAGAGATCTCATTTTTATCTTTTCTCGCCCAGATCTCAACCATTCTCTCAGCCACGGGCGAAGGCAGCTTATTAACTATGGAAATACGTGCATCCATAATATTATTAATATTTAAATTTTTGTGAACGAAATCAATAGAATTATAGACCATGTTCAATGGAGATTCTTAACAAGAGTATCTTAGTATTAAAAAAGAAAAATATTAAAAAGCTAAAAGAAACAGGAGAGAGAAATATCTAAAATCTCTCAAATAAGAGTTAATTCTAAACTTTTAAGATATTCACTTATACAATTGTTTTGTTCTGATTGGTACAATTTTTTTAATATAAAAATTTAATTATATATCTTAAATTATAATAAAATAATTATTAAGATACTTACATTAAAAATTCCACCATTAGGTTAATTGAAAAAAGTTTTCAAGTACACCCATAATTTCCTAAGTTTGATCCCTACTTGAGCCTTATTTTTTTATTTTGTATTAGTAATGCACATTGTAAATAATTTTTTTAGATTCGCCCTTACTCTCTGTATACATTTAATATTTTCATACTTTCTATGATTTTTATCTTTTTTAACCAAATTTTATACTCTCTTTTTGATCTTATCTTTTCTCGACAAGATCTTAAACGCTCTCTGCACATCTCTTCTCCTCTTGCAAGATTATCGATTAATCATGGTGGCGTCTATTCTTTTTCTTGACGAGTTGAATTTGGTTAGCTGGTGATTTAGAGTTGTCTTGTACCTCAGAGCGTGTATGAGTTTTGGAAAAAAAACAAAAAAAAATTAAAAAATATAATAATATTTGAAATAATGTCTAACAATATTTGAGTCACCAAAGTATTTTCTCTAACAGAATATTAGAGTTTTTTAATATTAAAAAAAAAAATAAGAGAAGGTAAGAAGTGGTTCTTAAATAAAAAATTTAAGAAACAGTTTTTGAATTTCTAAAAACTCTTTTGAACACTTGTTTCCTTTTTTATTGGTTATACTTTTTTAATTAAAATTTTACTATATAATTAAATTATATTAAAATATTATTATTTTGTTGAGAATTCTAAATAAGATTCAAAACGGATAGAAATGGTCTCTAAAAGAAGAAAATTAATTGCAATATGCCTACAATACTGATAAATTCGTAAGATGGGCCTCGTAAATTATTGTTGGGCTGTTATTGTCATCTTTATTAAAGCCTTTTTTATAGTACTTATGTTTGGAATAGTAAAAGAGAATATCATCTTTGAATCTATCAATCAAGGGTTTTATCCCAACCTTCTTTCTCTTTCAACTTCTCTTCTCATTTATTCGTCCTCCAATCTTCTTCTATTTCTGTCACGCTCAATTAGTCTCGTTTCTGAGACTTATCAATGGTGATATCGCACGTTACTTCTCATGACTTTCTGTTACCAGCCCCGGCCCAAAAACAAACTAGACTCTGTGCCAAATGCCCAAATCTAACTTAGTTACACCATTTTTAAAAATTAGATCCTTACTTGCATGATTTCAATAAATTTAAGACCCTAAAATGTAACAGAAAATAGATGAAAATAATAGGATCTAGTGTAAAGCACCTCCAGCACACCTTAAAACCGGGCCTGTCTGTTACGCACGTTAACCTCATACCAGCTTTGGTTTAAGAAAGTCTTATAGGATTATTATGTATTGAGATGCTCGTAACACCAAATAGCCCTAATAAATTAATAATACTACTAGCAACTTTTGTCTTGAACCAAAAATTTAATGAGAAAAAATAAATTCTTTTAAGGAAAATCAGTCAAACCGAAGAGCACAAAAATGAATGCGAAACTGTTAAAACACGTGTCCTTAACACGTGTCAAATTCATACTGCCAGCTGTCCTTAGTGACTCTATAAGTTGGCAACGTAGACAAATGCAAAAGCAGAGGAAGACGAAAAAAAAACATTTACAATAGCCTAATTAAGAAGGAAGAAATTGTTTTTCTTGATTGATGAATATGGCGGCTATGCAACTAACGAGAACGGCTTTCTTCGGCCTCTCCAGGGCTTTACCTAATAGCCGAGCTCCGAGAACTCTTGCGGTTGTGATTTGTCGGAAAAGTTCTCGTGTCTTTTTTGCCTCATCGGTTAACCATTCTAAGGTAATTTAATATATATATATATATATATATATGGGGCATATAAAACAGATCGATGCATATAACTGCCTTCTTAAGCGTGTATAAATTAACTAGATCTTAATCCCGACTTTAAGAATTATATTTACAAAAATTCGTATGTGTGTTTTAAAAACTTGATTTTACACACACCAAAAAAAAAAAAACTTGATTTTACTATATTTGTAACAAGAAGTCATGTGGAATTTGAGACTTTTATGACTCATGATTTTTTATTTATTTAATCTTTGATGTAAGATTTACACAAGACTATAAATAGTTTGAGACGCTTGATGATTTATATGTGTTAGGTTAACGTGTGTGACAAGATATCAACTGAAATTATAAACTTTTTTGAATGATCAATGGTCATGGTTTTACAGGGAAGAAATGATCCAGTAGAGAGAGCGAGAGACTCTAGGGCTGATTTGGCTTATGATTCGAAGAAATGGAGAGAAGAATCCGGAGAATACGCGGAAGCCGGCAAAGAGAGAGCTCACAAGGCGAAAGAGAGTGCGAAGGACAAAGCTTACGATATGAAAGAGAAGACGAGAGATTATGCGGAAGAAACTAAGGATAAAGTGAATGAAGGAGCAAGCAGAGCAGCCGATAAAGCCTACGAGTCTAAAGAGAATGCTAAGAACAAAGCTTACGATGTGAAAGAAAAGACAAAAGATTATGCAGAAGCCACCAAGAATAAGGTGAACGAAGGAGCGAGCAGAGCAGCTGATAAAGCCTACGAGACTAAAGAGAAGGCTAAGAACAAAGCTTATGATGCGAAGGAGAAGACAAAAAATTATGCGGAAGAAACCAAGAATAAAGTGAATGAAGGAGCGAGCAGAGCAGCTGATAAAGCGGAAGAGACGAAAGACACGGCCAAGGAATATGCGAAGGACTCAAAGGAGAGAGCAGAGGATATGGCTCATGGGTTTAAGGAGAAGGCTCAAGATGTTGGGGAGAAGACTATGGAGACTGTGAAAGATGCATGGGAGACGGCGAAGAGCACGGCTCAGAAGGTTACTGAGGCGGTGGTTGGGTCCGGTGAGGAGGCGGATAAGGCCCGAGATGATGTTGATAAGGGCTTGGAAGATTTGTCGAAAAAGGCAAAGGAAAATCGAAAAAACGAAGATGATTTCAAGAGGTTCTAAGTTCGCTAAACAGCTGTGTATGTTTTATTATTAGTCATAAGTTTTCTTCTTTGTGTTTTTATAGTGTTTCGTTTCTGAACTTTGGCAACAACTTTCCAGAAATTTTACAGTCAACTCTTCTACGTTTGAGATTGATCTGTAAAGAGACAATCATGTGAGCGTCAAAGTCTTAAACCCTATTTGGAATCATGATTAAAAGAAAAAGAATATGACTGCTAATACATGTTTACTTCACACCAAAGTAAATAGCGATCACCTGTTATTGGTTTTCTCTCTCTTTCTTTAAAGATGTAGCCATGTTTCAGAGCTTCTGGATTAAGTTGAGGGAACAGAGGAACACGAAAAAAATATGATATGTTTTTTTTAAGGCAGGCTTTTGAAAACATAAAAAGCTAATTATGATATTCATTTTTCTTTCAACTTTTATCATGGTATTCTTTTTTCTTTTGAATTTTTGCTTACTATTAACTATGGTATTCTTGAAAGGTTCAATCTTATCTCCAAAGGAAACGGACAAACGTTTGCTAGAGACCAGCTCATATAATTATTGTCCATCGTGTGTCAAAAGCTATAAAAGGATTGGTTAGTTAAACCGGTCATAATAACCGAGATGGTTTCGGTTTGTAACACTGGTTTCTCGGTTCAACTCTTAGAAGAAGAAAGCTATGAGCAAAACACAGATTATATTATGGTTCACTTCTCATAATTGGATGAGCTGAATCTCCAAAACCGGACCAATTTAAATAAAGCGAAACCGATCAGGTCAAGTATTTAAAGGAGAGAATTGAAAAGAAGATCTCTCTAAGCAAAGAAAAATAAAAATGGGAATACTTGAAAACCTATGGGACGACGTCGTGGCTGGTCCACAACCTGAAGCCCGTGGCCGTGCCCATCTCCGGCGAATCTCCACCGGCTTAACTAGCTTGAACAATATCAAAGGTAAACCGAAAAACATTTAAAACTTGAGTATGATTTTATGGGTCTTCTGAATAATAAACATTGAGGACTTGTAGAAAAATATGAATGTAATAAAGACGTTTGAATATAGCACATGATGACATGAATCATATCTTTTAAGACAATTCAGCTTATTTAGCGTAATGGGGTAAGAAAAAAAATCCTTGTGTTTGTATTGTAAGTGGTAAAATTTCAGAGCAGTGCATAATTCTACCCATTTTTTTTAATTGTATAACCATTTGTACATATATTGTTATGTAATCGGAGCGTCACATATGTGGTTTTCAGAAGGAACAACGGTGGGCGGATCTGCGTCTCTCCCGTCGAGTCCAGCTACTCCGGTGACACCGGGATCTGGCCGGAAAGTGGATGTGTGGAGGAGTGTGTTTCATCCGGCAAGTAATGTGACCACAAGGGACATTGGTGCTAATGTCTTTGACAAACCTTCTCATCCTAATTCTCCCACCGTTTATGATTGGTAAATATTTATATCAACTTTCGAAAAATTAATAATTCGTTTTGTTAATGATCTTGATTACTTTGTACGAGCAAGCAGTAACTAAACACTACAAACTTTTTTTTTGGGGTGATTAGTTTGGTTTACGGTTGGCTTCGGTTTCATGGCTATTATCAAAACTTTTAAAACATTTGTAATTCGGTTTGAATTAGATCGATTTGGTTTGATAAAGTTTGTTTTTGTTTTGATTTTTCGATTTGGATTAAGTTGAAAAACGTTACTTTAAAATAGAAATATATAATCACTAAGTTATATATTCTATGTTAATATCGGTTTTGATTCGTTTCGGATATGTTTTTCTTTTGGGTTTTCAAATAACAAAACAGTCGGTTTGGAACAAATTTTCACTTTGGTTTCGGTTTTGTCTTGATTCGGTTAGGTAATTTAACCATAACTAGAAACACCGAACTATTAGAATTTTAACAACTTTCTGATTATCTCGTCCAACCAGGGAAAAGGAAGTTTATTTTCATCTTTTATAGTTGGATCTCTTAGATTTAAAATTCAAATAAATTTAAGATCTAATTTTTTTTTGTGAATTAAGTGGTGGGGTTTAAGCCTTTAAGGGTCTGTATACAGTGGAATCGAACACGAACATATGTAGCTTACAAATTTTAGAATTGAATTGCAACTTTTGAAAAATAATTAGAAATATAACAGAGTTTTGGTTATTATTGTTGTTGCATGACAGGATGTACAGCAGCGAGAGCAGGAGCAAGCACCGTTGAAGCGTCTAGTTTATCAACGGACCGTCAAATTAAATAAATGAAGATTTCATAAAATGATGCTTTCTAGAAAAAGAGATTTCATAAATTTATGTTGTCATTTATTATTTCAAGATGATTAATAATCAACTGAGTGAGCCGTGTGATTAATGTTTAAATAAACTTTAATGCTTTACTCTATTTTTAATCTATTGACACGAAATTAAAAAATTATACATCACTTCTTAAATTAGAGAAAATAAGTTTTTTCATCAGTCACTCTCCCTCTCTTTTTTTTTGTCATCTGAAATTATATTAAAGGTTTATAAACCTTATTACCGAATAGGTTACAAGAAAGTCTCACAAAAACAGAGACCAATTTAAAACGTCAATATTACAGAAGAAACAGCAACTAGTTAGTAACTAAAATATTTACCCAAAAACCTATTACATCATTCTACCCATCCAAAAAACCATATCATTAGATAAAGGTGTGAACACTTTCAGAGACAAAAATTTCACTCAACCACTTTGGAAAGCTTCTAGATACATAGGATTGAAGAAAACCTTTAAAAGCTGCATTGAGCGAGATATGCACATCTATTCAAAACATGAGCTTCAAACATAATCTTCCATTCTCTAATCTTTGTTAATACCATCAAGATTTCAGAGCTCTAATTACTAAAGAAAGGTCATGCTCTCGGCCTTTTAGTTGCTCCCACTAATTCCAAAGCTTCTAGAGCAAAGATCACTCTATTACACCTATGTGAACTCATACTCAATAGACCATATGAGATACTTGAGCTTGGCATCTAACAAACTTCTCACCTCAGTAAAAGCACAGCAACTATGCAACAATACCATTCCTTTATCATCTTTAAAAATCTAAAAACCTCCAGCAATTTTATTTCGTTTGTTCCAAGAAATTCTGATATTGCATTTGAGCCAATTTTTAGAAGGAGGAGACCAACCTTTTTTCGTTTGTACTGGGTCACCTTGGTAAGTGACTGAATTTTGCTCAACACTAGTTTGCACTACAACCCAGAGATCCAAATCTTCTTTATTTTTTCGAGAAATTTCTAATGTTAATAAATGCGTTCCTTCAAAAAACTGTTGTTTCTATTCTTTCAAATATTCCATAAAATCTAAGGATAAGATTTTCTAATAGTAGGAGGGATTAGATCTCGCTCTCTCTTATATTTCATGATAAATATTATAAAAAATTAAATTAATATTTACAGTTTAATAATATCTAAACTATAACTAATATAATTTTACGGTTAATCTTTATTATCGCTTACACAATTATAATCTTAAAATACTATTTTTATACGATTATATTTTTTATACCTATTAAAATTAAAAAATATATATAAACTATTAAAGTTGTTGATGTTATCAATTTGCTTTAGTGATGGATAAATCACACAAATATATTTGATTTAAAAATGTTGTTGATGATCAGTTTTATATATTGTAACATTATGTAATTGTTTAAATATAAAGATATATAGAATTTATAAGAACTCTTAGATGATAATGTGAGAAAAATAATAAGTTATATTAGAAATATTTCAGAAAACTTTATGAAGCATTTCATTAAAGTATTATATGGTAAACACATCAAGTATCTCGAGTTATATCTTAAAACAAAATTAATAAATAAAAGTTTATCAAACATTTAATACTAAAAGTCTTTGAAATAAATAAGTTTTAAATGTGTCGAGATACGGTTGAGATTAAATTTTAGCATGCCAAAATGTTGTTTAGAAGAAAAAAAATTGTAACAAAAATACATTTGTCTCTATAACGACAACACATAACATGAAATTGTTTAGGGCATCATTTTCTCTTTTTTCTTCATATAAGTTTTTTTTAAGAATCAAATTATGTCCTGTTTGAAGTATATCAAATATGCAAAAATTATATAAATTAAAATAAAATATAAAATTATTATTAAAAGATATAAAGTAACGAGAAAGAAAAACTGGTTTGAAATTTAGTTTCAGAAAATTTATGATTTCTAAAATATTGGTATTGACTATAAATAATCATTTAAAGTTGCAATTGGTTATACGAGATTTAAAATCAAATATATTATTTAAAATTACAAATACTAATACATTGGCTGCATCTGATTTTAAATTAACAAAAAAAAAATATTATAACAAGTTGTAAAGTCTGATTTTATACATAGCTATCATTTATAACAAAGCCAATATAAACAATAGATGAGTAACATCTTTTAAAATTCTATTTAAATAATAAAATATGATAAAATTATAAATCAAATTCATAAGTTAAAAGCTTAGAGTGTCAAAAACTAAACAATAAGTTTCACACCTGTCGTGATCATTAACCAATAATCTTAAAACATCAAATTTCATATAATAAGATAGATATTTGACATGAATTTATAATACTTTTATAATAATTCTAAATTCAAGTTTTTGTTTTCCATAATTTCAAGATATAATATAAGAAAGTCCCAAGTTTGAAAACTAGTGTATTAAATAAGAAACGGACGTTATCCAATTTGTCAACTTTATATTTTTCACCTTTTTGTTTGCATTTGAATATTACTCCTTTTTCTAAGATATACATTTATTTATTTTTTATATATATAAAATGCGAAACTTATGATGATGTAAACAGATGACAAACACAAATAAAGAAATAAATGATAAATGTTTATTCTTCATAAATTGCATCTTACATATATGCTTCTTCATCAAAAGAGTGTCTATTGACTTCATTCCTCTCTTTAATGAAAATAAAAAGTGTAAAGAGCGAGAGAAAACAAAACTGGACACACGAGAAAGAAGAGAGACAAGTTTTTTTTTTTAATTTTTTGGTTTAAAAGAGAGAGAAGTTACTTAACATCATTTTGTGTTCTTGAATATTATCTATCATTATTGCCTTGCTATTGACTTAACAAAATAAAACTGAAACAACATTACGTGGAGATCTTACGAGTAGGACGAATCACATCTAAAAAACAACAATTTATATATTGTTGTAGAATAATTGAAAGAAGCCTCGTCCCAACAGTACTATAACCCGGCAAACTGTTCTGATCGTTGTTCGTACCGTACCTAACTCCTAAGCCTAGCTAATGTGTTTGGATCTAAATCATTACGGGGAGATCTTACGTGCAGGACGAATCACATCTAACGCCATGCTAGTCATGTTTGTAGCCAAGTGATCTTGTGACGCAAGACTATATATAATCAAGGCTTGTAAACTCATTGTCGTAAAGTAGCCACTTATTTAATTAACCAACTAGGAGAAGAAATATTTAACTTTAACAATAGCAGATTCATCGGCACGAGCAAGCATTGTAGGCTTGTAGCAACAATATGAGTAATGGCTCCCAAAATCTTGTCTTTTATATAGAGTTAACCAAATCTTAATTACAAACGTAAATGGAACTTACTTGTTGTCTTGCTACTAAGACGTAAATGATATGACAAATATCATATCGTAATACATTGATGTCTTGCTGGTTCTCTAAAACCTAGAAGAACATAAAATCTAACTAAAGGCATTGGAAAGAATGAACTTATAGTAGGAGCCATGAAAGCAGCAAAGCATATCAGAATTATATATATATTTTTAAAAAATCTTTTTAATATTGTATTCCTAAGTTATTCATTAGAATTGCAAGTTTGAGAAAGTCATAAACTCATTTCACTTATTATTATTTTTCACTCATTTGACATTTTCTGATCCTCTCAATGGCTTCCTCCTCATAGTCAAGAAAACTGGTGGGATCTTCCGCCGGATTTAACATCTTCCATTCTGATCCGTCTTGGAATGGTGGAGACAGGCCCGATCCAATTAAAATAGTGGTCCAAAGTTATAAAAGAACAATATGTAAACTTTATTTGGTCATTTTAAATTTGTGGCCCATTTTTTAAAATTTTTCAAAATTTGTGGCCCATTTTTTAGCCTAATTTTCTCAAAAATATTGGTGGTTCTAAACGCTGGCTTAGCCCACCTATCCTCTAGGCCACTCTAGATGGAGATACTGGAAAACGCTCAGAGAGACTGTAAAGAACCATCGATGTGGCGCCACATAATTAATATCTATTGCAATAGAATATATATTCCGTCGTCACACTATCTTCTCAACTATATCTCCCACAGGTTCTCTTTTATCCTTTAAAAATCTTTGATTACGTTGACTTGATTCTGAATCCATTCTAGGGCTTATATTAACTTTATATCAATAATCAAGATTGAATAACAAAGTGGAATTTCCTGAATTGTGAGGAGTGAGGACAATTAGGGTCAAAATTGCATTGTTTCTACCACGTTCTTCCATCATACTATAAAACTAATATGGTACATATATATGCTTCAGAGTTGATCTAGTATTGATAATATTTTACAACTTCTTGTTGTTTGCAGAGCAAGGAATCTGAGACGCCTTAGAATTGCTAAGCACTATAAAATTACTATAGTACCTCTAAGTGGTACAAAAATTGAGATTGTATTGATAATTTTTATAACAATTAGTAAGTGTCTTAATTTGACATATTTATTAACTATGGTCTTCAACGTACAAAAATTGAAATTGTATTGAAAATTGAAATTGCATTAATTGTTTCTACCACGTTCCATATCATACTATTAACTAAAATCGATATGGTATGATAAAAAAAAAAATTAACTTTTTTTATTGTTTGCAGAGCAAGGAAGCTTAGACTTGCTAAACACTATCCAGTAACAAGCGAGGGACTTGTCGGTGCAGTCACGAGACCACCATTTCTTGAAGAGCTCGAAATCTCACCATGCACGTTTGAGCAACTGGATTTGAAAGCTATAGGCCATTCTTGCTCACTTCTCCAGACACTGAATCTAAACCGCATTAGTTTCAGCGCAGCCAGGACATTAATCAAGATTACGAAGCTCTAGCGATTGCTGAAACCATGCCCGAAGTATCAAGCACGTCACCTCGAGCTTTTTGGGAACGTACTAACCAACACAGGCTTAAACGCTGTTCTTGACAACAGTCTTCACTTGGAACACCTTGATTTACGCCGGAGTCCCAACGTCAACCTTGTCGGGGATATGGAAGCACGGTGTTTTGAGCTTTGAGAGGATCAAATTTTTAATACGCCTCAATGACTCAACCGCTGATTGTCCAACTCATAATCGTTATTCTATTCAACAGAAGAAGACGACTATTCCTCGAGTGACATTGAGAACGTAACAAGAGTGATCCAGCGTGAGTCAGACGAGAAAGATCCGAGTTCTGACGTCTGGTTTTATTCAATTAACCTTTTCCTCTCTTAAAATGACACCAATCAATAATACAATGCAATCAAGAAAATAGTTTTTTTCAATCATATATTGCTAAAATTTTGTTTACTAGCATATGAGATCAGATTATAATTAAGCCTTTTTAGAAAGCATCTAACGAAATGAGTGGATTAAATAAAATCCAAAACCATATATAAAGAAATACTCAACATTTGTTCGGTACCCCTAGGATCACATGATAACTACTTCATTGCTAATCTTGAGAGTATTCTAATTTCTATGTCAATTTTTCAATCTCGCTTTATGCGTTTATAAGTTTTATTTATATATTCACCTAAATAACTCTTGCTTTTTAGCATAAGTTTTTACATCACTGAATTACTTTTTATTAGTATTCACTAGACTTGATTGGTTAAATTGTTATGTTGGTAACTTTGAAACACATCAGTTTTTTTTTCTTTCTTATCTCAATTTATTTTTGCACTCCAAGTTTTATTTTCATCTCTTCTGTTTAAGAATTGACTTTGGAAAACATGGTAATGGATAATCATATTTCCCATCTAGTGTAAGGGAAATCAAATGAGTGTATTCAAAAACCAATTAAACTATGGAAATACACAACAAAGTCATTAAAACAATTTGACTAGTTAACTCATCATAATCCATAAAAAAAAAAAATAATTAAGCCCACAAAATAAGTGTGAGAGAGAAAAGAAATCTCTCTCCGTTGACGTTGGCGGCTTGTGTTAGCTGTTTGCATATACACACTGATACAGCGCAATCACACGTATATATATACACATATGTGTATGTATACATTATTTATACACATCTCTCTCTCTCCTCTCTGTGTCGATGCAGTGTTTCTTCGGTCAAATGATACCAATCTGAAACAAAGAAAAATCCAATCTACTTTTTTTTTTGCGTACACCTCTCTCCATCTCTAATTCCTCCATAAAGTCTCTTACTTTTACATCGATCATCATCACTTGCTCTCAATTCTCCAAGGTCAATTTCGAATTCTCGTTTCTTGGGTTTGGACTTTTCTTAATCGGGTTCGTTTTTCTTCTTTGGATTGAAGTTTAAAGTCTTCGAATTTGGCATCAGATTCTTGTTGAGGGTTTTGGGTTTGACTCTGATGGTGAAATTGGGTCTCGCCGGGAAATTGAAGCTGTGTTTGCTATGGATGAATTAGGGTTCTACAGTGAATGATTATTGAATCAGAGTTGAATCTCTCTCTCTCTTTTTAACCAACTCATGGGTTGCATAATCTCTAAGAAGAAGTCCCCGAAGAGAAGCCATCATCATCATCCGCCACGGAAAGAAACATCAGAGAAGCGTTTCTCGTCGAGGATCAATTCCTCGAGGATCGATGATTCGAGCCAGAGCAGAGAAGACGAGCAAGATCGAAAAGTCGGGTTGATCGAATCGGAAAACTTGAGTTCCAGTAGATTCTCCGAGAAACACCCGGAGATTTCAGAGATTGGTGACACAGATGACGAAGATACACCACAAGAGGAGCTAAAGAGAGAGCCTAGTACCGTCGTGGTTCGTCCCGGTCCCGGTCCCGGTTCCGGTTCCGAAACCGAAACCGGTCCAAAGGTTGAAGCTGAAGCGGCTGCAGCATGGCCTGCTTGGCTAGTCTCAGTGGCTGGTGAAGCACTCGTGGGTTGGTCTCCAAGACGTGCTAGTACCTTTGAGAAATTGGAGAAAGTAAGTAAGAAAAAGCTTTGTTCTTGTTGTGTCGCCATTTTCGACTCGAAAAAAACTTGTTTTTGATGAATGTTTGTTCTTGTGTTGGTCATGCAGATTGGTCAAGGGACGTATAGTAGTGTATACAAGGCTCGTGATCTTGTTAACAACAAGATCGTTGCGCTCAAGAGAGTCAGGTTCGATCTTAGCGATTTAGAGAGTGTTAAGTTTATGGCTAGAGAGATTATAGTAATGAGGAGGCTTGATCATCCTAATGTACTCAAGTTAGAAGGCTTGATCACTGCCTCTGTTTCGTCTTCTCTCTACTTGGTTTTCGAGTACATGGATCATGATCTCGTTGGGCTCGCTTCGATCCCTGGTATCAAGTTCTCTGAGCCTCAGGTACTAAACTACTTACTCTCCTCCTCGACCACCATATTTTTTCACTGTATGACAAAGCTTTAACTTGTTCTTCCTCTTGTTGCTGCTTTAGGTTAAATGTTACATGAAGCAGCTTCTAAGCGGGCTTGACCATTGTCATAGTCGCGGTGTTTTGCACCGCGATATTAAGGGATCGAATCTACTGATTGACAGTAATGGAGTCTTGAAGATAGCGGATTTCGGGCTAGCCACGTTCTTCGACCCAAAGAACTGTGTTCCTTTGACTAGCCGCGTTGTGACTCTGTGGTATCGACCACCTGAGCTTCTTCTTGGAGCTTGTCATTATGGTGTTGGTGTTGATTTGTGGAGCACAGGGTGTATCTTAGGCGAACTGTACTCCGGGAAACCGATCTTGCCAGGGAAAACCGAGGTACATACTCTCTTAAAATCTATCAAGAACTCATTTTCCCGTGAGGTAAAGCCATCAAGAACTCATACTGTATATGATTTTGAACTTTTCTAGGTGGAGCAACTGCATAAGATCTTCAAGCTATGTGGTTCACCAACAGAAGATTACTGGAGGAAACTGAAGCTACCACCTTCAGCTGCGTTTAGACCCGCGCTTCCATATGGAAGACGTGTGGGAGAGATGTTTAAGGATTTGCCTTCGAATGTACTTTCGCTTTTGGAGGCTTTACTCTCCATAGATCCTGACAGGAGAGGCTCTGCAGCTAGAGCTCTTGAGAGTGAGGTACTGGTTTTTAACTTAACCTTACATTTTTTGTGATCATTCATATGATTGATAGAGGTTAATAATAACACATAGTTCTTGTTGGAGCAGTACTTTAAAACACAGCCGTTCGCTTGTGATCCATCTTCTCTACCAAAGTATCCTCCAAGCAAAGAGATTGATGCTAAAATCCGAGATGACGCGAAACGGCAGCGACCGACTCAGGAGAAGCAAGACTCTCAGACAAGACGGTCGCACGAAAGAAAACTCATCCCGCCGGTAAAAGCTAATCAATCACTCACGACGGCTATAGAGGTAACAGAAAGGCTATGGACCTATGGTTTGGTGTTGTTGCCTCTCAGCCATCAGAATCGTGACTAAAAGAGAATAAAAAACTTGTTGGCTAATACAGAATCCTTATCTAAGAAGCTGTGTGGCGGGTAATTCAACGAGACAAATGCAGATTTCAAACAGCAACAATCCGACGAGTGGAAGAGTGTCTCACTCCGGTCCGATGATGAACAGTAACCGGAATCATAGCCGGTTAACATACGTGAAGGACAATGGAGCAGCAGCGCCTAGGATACTTTCTTCATACAGAGCTAACTCAGCGGGACAAAGTGGTGGTTATGCAGACAAAAATGGCTCAGAGAAACCAATCATGAATCAGCAAATGAAGGATTTGAGAGCATTCAACAGAGCTGATACTATGGATAACAGTAAGAGACAAATCAAAATGCCAAATGACCCATCTTGGGTAAGTTACTCTCAACAGACAAGAAACTGTCTTTTTGCTTACATTGTGGTTTGGTTTATCTATATCTCTCTCTCTGTGTTTACATACAGTATGATTCTGGGGACAACAAAATGTACATGTCGGGTCCATTATTGGCTCAGCCAAGTAAAGTGGATCAGATGCTGGAAGAACACGACAGGCAGCTTCAGGAATTCACCAGACAAAAGGCAAAACAGTCAAGAAACTGAATTGAATCCTTCTCTTATATATTTTGCTTGGAGGTTGAAAACGGAGAGCCAGTTTTGAGTCGTCTTGTTGTATCTGATGAGCTTTATCTGGTTCGTATAGATTTTGAAAAGAAACTGTAATAGAGAGATTAAAGATTGTTTTGGCTTATAAAAAGCTCAGCTCTTGTGATTACATAGATGTGTATAACAATTTATACAGACTCATCATCATTGAGATTGTCATTGTGTAGATACATGTATGTACATTTCTTCATATATTATAGAGATTTGTACCTTCACCGTTTTTGATTTAATGTTCCTTTTCAGCAATTTCTTATTATTGCTTTCATTCGGATTCAATGGTTTCAAGGTGTAATTAACGTATCTTTTGATTAAAAAAAAAAAGTCTAAACTTGTTCTGAGAAATCATTGGAGAATCAGATTTAACAAATTATTCTGATTCTGAGAAAAAAAGGTCTAAACTTTTTTTAATTAATGTTCATTTTCAGCAATTTCTTATTATTTCTTACAAGTTAACAAGCTTTCATTCGGATTCAATGGTTTCAAGCTTTTGATAAAAAGTTTTAAACTTGTTCTGAGAAAAGATCATTGGAGAATCAGATTAACAAATTATTCTCATACACAGAAACTGTGTCAGAAGGTGTCCTAAGATATTTTAACTGATTTATCATCATATTTCTCCAAGATCAGATCTTTCACAAATTTTGAAACAAAATTAAAAAAAAAAAGTTGAATTTGAAATTTGAAGGAAATTTATAACCAAGATTGAAGAACAAACTCGAAGTTTATTGAAATTGGTAAAAGGAAACAATAAAGAGATGAAGAATCAGAAAGAACGTAGCGAGTTGAAATTTTATCGATCAATTGAATCTTAGAAGCATCACACATCGACAACTTTCATCACATTCTTCAGAGAAAGTTCAAAAAAAAAATGTAATTCGCAAAACGGAACAATGCGGAAGAAGAATCGAGAAACGAGTACGAAGAAATCGGACGGAGGAGTTATCGATTGATTTCGATATCAATTGATGGTACGGAGGATAAGCTATTTATAAGAGATTTCAATGAAACCCTAAATAGTGGAGACTCAAAATCTTAAACTTTGTTTGGATACAAGTATATAATTAAGATTCGAATGTTTGGACACAAGTATAATTAAACTACACCGGATTCATATCTTTTTTTCTCTTACATCTTAGACCCAATTTTGGTCTCATTATTTTGTTTCTGGGAGGTTCTTGGTAGATAAACTTTTAAAAACTGTTGAAATTTTCAGAGCTCATTGTTATTGGTTTATATATTTTGATAGTTTTATTAAAATCTACTATCATTGGTTTGATGATTTTAAAATTTTATATAGAATCTATGATTATTCAAAAAGTTTGATTTTTTAATGACTTTATCATATTATTAAAATTTTGTGTTATTAAAACATGATTTTTTAATAATTTAATTTATAAAACAAATTTTCAAAAATATTATAGATGTATCTTTCTTAAATTCATTATAATAAAATGTTTTGATAGATACGAATCTAACAAAACGATTTATAAATGTAGTAAATTTCTCAATTCTTAAAAACAATTAATTCTATGTAAATTCAACTCAGTTAACTAAGAGAGAAAGTAAAAACTCTTTATTTTCAAAAATAAAATCTGTTTTAAAATTTGCAAACAATCAAATTCAATGTTTCTAAAATACTCTAATATTTTTTTCAATAAAATCATTTAAAATTAATTATAAATATTTATTTATCTAGTTTGTAACTCACTTGCGGAGATCATAAACCTGCTAGATTAGTTTTTAGATATTTTGTTTTCCCAAAATCCCACAGATCAAGTTCAAAATAATTATTTTGGATAATTTTTAGAAAATTAAAAAAAAGTTACATAAAATTTTTAAAATTGTAAACGGATTATTCAAATAATTTGTGTTATACATGTATCTTTCCCGTATCTATTTCAATAAAATATATGACCTCGAATAAAAAGCTATTTGAACAAAATTGGAAGTAAGATATGAAATGGATATAAAATATTTATATTGTTTTGATATATCGCCGAATAATTTTTGATATCTATTTTCGATGTAATAATCCCTCATGGTTAATATTTTACAAATACAATAAATTATCTACTAAAAAAAAACAGAGAAAATTCTCTGATGATTAATAATATTCACTCCATATTGTTAAACAATCTTTACAGAGTTTTCTTATAATCTTTAGTTTCGTAAATAGAAGAAGAAGTTCTCACTTTTTTTTTTGTTAGGTTGGTTTAAGGTTGACGATCCTAATGGACCTAATCTTTCACACAACTGAAAATGGGCTTACCACATACGAGACAAAGGCCGAAATGTACTGTGTCTAATCAAAGTTTTTTAATCAATGGTCGATTTATCATTGCCTTAATTATTCTTTCAAGACCCACACTAAAAGTCACTAATTACTATTTAGATCCTCCTTTACCCCCTCCCCCACTATTTTAGGTCAAATGAAAATTGACCCTTAATGTTTTATTTCGATCACTCAACACCCCAATAGTTCAGAAAAATTATTAGAAAGTGTAGAAACCACTATTCGTTTATTTTGCCAACGAATTAAGTCCACTAATCAGAGGCAATAGAAACTTTAGATTATACACTCTTTTAATCATTTAGGCAGAAAAAGGAAAGTTCAATTTACGTAAATTGAGTTCAATAATACGATTTAATAATAAGAAAATTGAGGGGCTAAATTTCTCAACTTTTTCTTCGTCCCGATTTCACTCTCCTTTTCCTCTCTCTCTATATCGGCACCGAACCAAAAACAAACGCAGCAGAAGAAGAAGAAGAGAGAGAGAGAGAGAGAGAGAGAGAGAGACGTAGAAAGAGAAGAGAGAGATAGAGATAGAGAGAGGTGAAACCTTTGTGTTTAGCTCTTGGAAGATCACTGCCTCCTACAATGCCTGAGAATAAGAGCTTCTCGGCGGCTGAGATTCCCGATGAGGAAGAGGAAGAGGAAGAGAAAGACCAACGACGGGACGGATTTAACCCGGAAGCTGAAGAGAACGAAGGAGAGGATCTAGGAGAGAGGGTTGAGAAGAAAGACGAAGACGAAGGAAACGGTGAGAAAGATGAAGAAGAAGTAAAACGCGACGAAGCGGACGAAGCAGAAGCAGAAGAAGAAGAAGAAGATAAGGAAGATGATGAAGACGATGCAGGGGGAGAGGAAGAAGATGAAGAGGAAGAAGAAGTAGAAGAAGGTATTTTTGAGGTTCTCTCTACTCGTGGAAAACGTTAATCACGCTTGTTGTTGTTGTTGTTGTGTGTATACGTGAGAGTGTGTTTGTTCATGTGATCGATTCTTTTACTCAATTTGGCTCTCTCTTTTTTCAGATTCTAAGGAAAGAAGTCCATCTTCGACACCAGGAGACCAATCAGAGTACGATTTCTATTCTCTTCTCCACTCTGTCTCCAGATGTGTGTTTGCAGTAATGGGTTCTCTTCTCCATTCATTCTTGGTTTAAAAAGTTCCATTTTGATGATGGGTTTGATTTGGACCGATGTAAAAAATCTCTGCTTTGTTTAGAAATCTGATGATTCATCGTCTTAGCGCTTGCATGTTGTAATTACTGTCGCCTTGCTGCTCCAATATCCCTAAACTGTGTAAAGCTTCTAGCTTGATTTATAGCTTCCATGAACAAAATGATATCTTGAGATTGAGAATGATTTAGCCTTCATGTAACTTTACCTTTCTTGTTGGCAGTCTTAAACTCTTTTTGATTTTCTGCGTCAGAATTTAAAAGTTCCACCGATTCTTATCATTGTTATTTACAGATGTCTGTTTCTTTTTTCATGCAGAAATATGGATATTGATCTAGGGGAAATCCGTAAAGACGTGCAGTGTCCGATATGCTTAGGTACTTAATACTTCTTCCTGAATATTTCTAATTCAAGTCATGAAATTCTGTTAATCTTAGAGCATCCTTTGTTGGGAATGAAACTTATCCTAAAGCTCTAATGTTGTTGCTTTCTTCAACTAGCATGAAACTCTTGAATCTTTCCATATTGGTCTTCTTGTAGATGATCGATTTGCCACAGAATTTGTTTAAACTGTTGGAAAATGTCGCCAAATTTTCTCATAATCCTACCACTACAAGTTCTTCACACTAGTACAGTATGGTACATCTGGACGATACGAATTTCTTGTTTTACCATTTTCCAGGAATTATAAAGAAAACAAGGACTGTTATGGAATGTCTGCACCGGTTCTGCAGGGAATGTATTGATAAGTCAATGAGATTGGGGTAATGCCTTCAAATTGTCTTTTCTTGCTCCAATTCTATGGAACTTTCCAGTTACAAATTGGTGTTTGGCTTTTCTTATAAAGCTTTGTTCTGAGTTTATGTTGACTGAAATTGGTGTTGCAGGAACAACGAATGTCCTGCTTGCAGGAAGCATTGTGCAAGCCGGCGTTCTCTAAGAGACGACCCAAAATTTGATGCTCTTATTGCAGCTTTATTCGAAAATATTGATAGTTATGAGGAAGAGGTAAAAAGCATCAACATTTCTTTTTTTTTGTTCTCTTTGTTTATTTCTGAGAGATTGTTGCTGTTGAATGCTTTTCATTTTTTTTCTTTTCTTCAGGAATTGGCTTTTCATGAAGATGATAAGGCTCGTAATAAGCAGGTGAGATAAGATTAACCCGAAGGAATCTATGCTATGGAGAATGTTGTTATCTACCTTCTGGGGCTATTTACTAAAGTTATATATTTCTCTACCTTTCTATGGCTTTTGTGTAGATTCAAGCATCTATAGCTCAAATATCGCAACGACAATCCGAGGCTCTTGTGAAAAGACGGTCTTTTGGTAAAGAAGCAGCGGTTTTAATGAGATCACAGCGTAGTGGTAGTGGCTCGAGAAGGAGAAGAAACTGCAGAAACATGGAGCAAAACACATTAGAAGCCCATGACGATGAGAACAATGATGATAACAACGGAGGAGGAGGCAAAGATTCGTCTTCAGACGAGCGTGGTGCAGAAGTCCGGCTGAGAAAACGAAGGAAGCGGTTTACAGGTCGTTCAACACAACACCCTTCTTCTTCAGGTGCAAACAACATCAATGCTAACTGCGCAGATAACGACACAGAAGCGTGCAGAGAGAGCAAAGGAGTATCTACAGGGCTTGTGTGGAATCCGGAGATACTTGCTTGGGGAAGAGGCGGTACGAGGAGTAACACAAGGCATGGGAATAATACACCAGGAGGTAGTAGTAAGAGTGTGAGGAATGCTCGCGTGAGTAGACTTGTGGAGTACCTACGCAGCAACGTAGATGGAAACAGTGTTGAGGTACAAAATCAAAGAAGAGATGGTTCTCCTTTCTTCTTGATGACCCGTGTTAGTATCTCAGATTTTGATCAAACTCTCTCTTTTCTCGCTGCAGCTGGATATTCATCTCAAGCTTGTCTCACTGGATACGAAATGTGTACCAGACTTACTGCAGCCATATCTCTGTTGCCGACCTACTTTGCTTGTAAAACAGCTCCGTGAAGTGAGTACTCCTCTCTCTCTCTTAACATCAGAGTTGTCTTATGAAAGTTCTGTTACATATATAGGCTGAATACTTGTGTTTTCTTGATGTTGGAACAGTTTGTGGCACTTCAGACGAATTTGAAGACTGAAGAGGTTGACTTATTGGTAACGAGAAGATTAGGAGGAGAAGACAACAAGGCAATAGAGAACTTGCCTGTAGTGACATCAGATTCAGCAGCAGCATCCGAAGATGAGACGATGCAAAGTCTGGAAGACGATGAAACATTGTCAAAGCTCAAACTCGATTTCATTTCGAGCCATGAACAACATTTGGTTAGCATCACTGAGTATTATCCACATATTTGGTTTGTCCTGATCTAAAGTATGATTTCAACTCTCTGAAACTTATTTCCTTATTTGGTTTGTTCCTTTCAGATCATAGCTTACCAGAAAAAGCAAACCGAGTGAAGAAGCTTGGAGCCTGAAGGATGTGTTGCAAACAACGTATATAGATATATAAACAGATGGATCACGTTTGCTAGATTATATATATATCTCAGTTGGTTTTGATTTAGTTAAATTCTGTGGAACTTGTGTCACTTTCTTTTTTCTGCTTACTCATTGTAGACGTTTCTTAGTCTGTTACAAAGCAAGGAAATCTTTTTTTTTTAAACTATAATATATATGAGTTAAGTCTCAAACCATAGGATGATTATACTATCTGATTCATTTTACAAACGAGAAGGAGCGGTTCAAATCGTTATTGAACTGTAGTTTCCACTTTTTACATATTATATAAAGCTATCTCATCTGAGTAGAAGAAGCCATCAATGTTCTCGTCTCGATTCTTCTGATCACTCTAAGCTTCGGTGACTTTGGTTTCGTCGTCTCCTTGTTCGACCTGTGTTTATTTGGTATATGGAGTTTTTAGTTTTGTCTCAGTGTAAGTAAAAAAAAAGCAAGAGGGCTAACTTCTGATTTTGGATCGGAACTTACCTCTGAGGTAAAAAAGGGTTGTTGAAGTTTGGCACTGCTCTGGCGTGAGGAACCATTGTCCTTCTCATTTGTTTCAGAGCTCTCTCTTCCTCTACCTGACAAAGTTTCAGGTAAAAAGAATATTCATTTATCTTTGGATACATATATTGAGCTCTGAAATATATTCGGCAGTAAATTTAAAGAATGTTTACCATTTTCGCGGCTTCAGTCTCTTCACGGTATCTCTTGTACATCATCTCCTTCTCTTTGATCTGATACCACAGATAATAGAACAACTTAGTTGAGGAATCAAAACTTGCTTTCAGTTTTACTGAAACGACTTAGATATTAAAGCTTACTTTGTGGTCAAAGTCTGCTCTTTCGACAGCCCTATGGTCTACATGGAGATTGAACTCTTGAATCTCCGTGAGAGGCTTTCGAACTTTCTCCGGAACAGGAATTGGATCTCTGAATAGTGGTGAAATTTTGTACAAATCATTTGCGAGCTCCTTTGAAAATGTAGAGAAAAACAGAGAGAAAAAAAAAGAGTTTACTTACTCTTTGATCACTGGCTGTGCTCTGAAGACTCGTCTTTGGGCTTCTTCTCTCTCCATTCTCATCCTCTCTTCCATTTCTTTCCGCATTTCTTCTTCGTGCCTAGCTAGACTCTCTAACTGGAACGGTTCTGGTTTTGTGCATTGCTTAGGCTCTGGTTTTGGTGGGAACTGAAATTGGAAAAGTGAACAATTATCAGATGTTTGTAGGATAAAAGACATGGAAAGAAGAAACGTTTGGATGCATACCACTGGATAGTCGGTTGTGTAGGGATATGGAGTTGCTTTGGGAGTTCTGACTTTTTCAGCCTCTATCTGATTATGCATGACGTTTCTCACAAACTTCTTCTGTTTTTCAGCACCACGTTCCTGAGTTTAATCATATCAAAAGATCTTTCAGCAAAAGTTCCCTTATGGTAGTAGCTACTTTTGAGGTCAAAGAGAGTTGTTTGTTTATAATGTTACGTACTTCTGTCCTTAGAAGGAAAGGGTTTGGTGTGGTGTTCCTTTGTAGAGGCTTTTCACGGCAAGACTCTGAGTTCAAAGAGAGCTGGCCAAAGAGATGTTATGTTAAGATACTGAGATTTCAAAGAAGTAGAAGTTAGGACTTGTCTTAAGTACCTTGTCGAATAGGTCTGTAACTGAATTAGGCCGTGAAAACCTCTCATCTGTCACGAAATGGAACGCTTGAGGTATAGTTTTATGTTTTTTTGTGCTGCAAAACATTCCCATCTCTCCTTTACTTTCGAATATCTGGAATGGTTGAGAGATGATAATTTTGAATTAGAGTGAGATTGTAATTTGCAAGGTAGCATATTTTAAAACCACTTGAATATTATGTTACCTTTTTGTTCAAGGGTCTTGCTCTGAATTTTGGCACCTTCTCGAGTTCCTCTTGCTCGATTTCATCTGAAGTTTTTGCTTTAACTGGGCGAGCTCTCAGCATTGTTTGAAGCAAAGGACTCTTTGGTTGGGTGAGATGAGGCATCCAATCATTTTTCTGTGGATGAAGAAAGCAAGAGATGTCTCAGTTTAAGTCAAAAACTCAAGTGGTTTTTTTTTTTTGAATAAGACAACAGGAATAACAAAATTCTCTATAACCTTAGACATTTCCGTCGAGGCTACTGAAGATGTCTCTGCATGCTGGCTAGCTCGAGCCATTGTTTCTAGATGGAACTCCTGCAACAGTAAGTATAAACAGTCTCACTCTGAAAATGTTTTGGATCAGAGTGTTTTGAGTCTCCTACAGATGAAAGTGGTCTGATCAGTGTAGTTTACCTGAAACTCTGGAGGATGCGGTGTACTTCTTTGTGGTTTAGGCAAATCTGGAGCTGCTAAAATCTATGTCAAACAGAGAAGAAATACATTAGTTAGTTTTCAGGCTTTATCATTTGTCTGTTGTTTTAACTACAGTAGTTACTGGAGGGAGAGAGAGGCATTCGCATTGTTACCTTCTTATTCAAAGGTCGTGCTTTAAACTTTGGCATCTTTGCCAACATCTCTTCCTCAAGCTCCGCAGTGCTTTTAAGTCTCATAGGACGAGTTCGTTGAGATGTCACAAACTCTGGCTCCTTGGGCCTTGTCAGTGTCATCGGCCTAGATTGGTTCTGGTCAAGGAAAACAAGAGTAGTGTCATAAAGTTTAACTGAAGTACAATTCCAAGTATAAACGAAGTAAAGGCAATGTTATTACCTGTGACAGCTCCCTTGTACTTGTTTCAAACTTCTTCATAAATTCAGCAGTTGATACAAATGGAGTAATTTGCCCCCGGACATAAACCTTAAAAAGGTGAATAGCTTAAAAAGTTAAGAAACAATTTATCCAGGTTTTGATCACACATCTCTGAACACAACACAACGCACCTTTCTCTTCTCTGTCCGGGTTTGCTTAGTGACAGAAGGGCATAAGCCGGAGCTCGTGCTAACAAGACCCTGTTTTGTCTTGTGAGGCAAAGTTGTCGTTTTTGGATTGAGAATCTAATGAAAATTCAACGGGTCAGGATTCTTAACACATGACAGTGAGATACTGAAACAAGTAGTGTAGTTTTAAGATGACTGACCTGTCTGGATTTACCTCCATCAAGCTTTTGCCTTTTGATGGCTTGATTTTCCTCAACCATAGTGGAAGCTCCAGCTGTGTTTTTAACATTCGTTTCCCTGCAGTGAGATTCAACAGTCAACACACAAGATCTACCAACTCAAGAGCGAGAAAAACCAAATTATATAAAACAATGAAAGCTAAGCTACCTTTTTATGGTTTTCTGATTAGTAGTGTCTATGGCTTGTGACGACTGTGACTGTTGTTTTATCGGCATCAGCACGGATCGATTCTTTGAAGCAGTTTGATTCTTCTTGGTGTTGTTAGTCACTAATGGTTTTGGAGTGTAAAGTTGAGTCTGTGATGGAGGAATGTTCTCTTTGTTATCTGTCTGCTCAGTAACATCGTCGTGAAGGAAACTGTTGAATGAAAGATTGTGTGTTAAACTCACTCTCATCGCTTAACATCAAACATATAACAACAATCTCTTGAGTAATTTAAACCTGTCGTCTTCTTGAATATCTATGGTGGTGTTGTTGTTCTGGTTCTTGTTTGATGCTTCAGATGTGCTTTCTTCTTTCTTGAACGAAGAAGTATCTCCAGCTTGTGGTTCCGATGGTTCTTCTTCTTTAGCCTACACAGAGAAAGAAAGCAGAAAAAACTTAAGTTGATTCAAGCAAGCAGTAATAATCTCTACTCTTCTTAACTGAGGAGAATTGAAGATATTATTATACTTTCGAGTGTTTGTCTTCTTCTTCTTCACTGAAGTTGCAAATGCTCTCAACCTTGGGTGATGATCTCCTCGCTTTGATTCTGGGAATTGAAGCTGCACAAAGAAGAAATGTCGAAAACAAACATAAATACAATTCAGCTTATCAATAATCCCTCTAACCAAACCCTAACCCCAACGCCTATCGATTGAGAGAACCTAAACCCTAAATCCATGGAAAAATCGAGAACGCAATTCAATTTTCTCAATCAGAGCCCAGATTTAAAAAAAAAAACGTACGTGAAGGGGCGTAACTCGTCGCTGATTCGAACCAGAGCTCTGATTTTTGTTTATCTCTCTCCGTCTCTTCGTTTAAGAAATCGTACCATTGAGGCGCCGTGAATTCATAATTCAGATCTATCGTCGTCACGGAAGTAGCGGTTTGCTCCTCCGTCGTCGTATCCATGGCTCCGGCGAAAAAGATCACAGATCAGAGAGAGAAATTGAGAGATGGGGAAGACGAAGGAGAAGGATCTGAATGATTTGATGATTGGGGAAGAAGAGAAGAAAAGGCTTTTTGAATGTGGAAAAGAGTCTCTCTCCAACGGCCAATTTATCTGTCTTTGTCTCTCAACGGCTATCTTGACGCTCCGAGTCTGGAGCATTTGAAACTGCGTCGTTTCAACAAAAGAGTCTCTCCAACGGTCGATTTATCTTTCTTTGTCTCTAAACGGCTATCTTGATGCTCCGAGTCTCTGTATTAGCCCTAGTCTGGATCGCTTGAAACTGCGTCGTTTCAAGACTGACATAGTCAGTTAGCTAAACGCAGTCGTTTGCTTTGGGAATTGTTGTTTTCTAACGGAAAATAATAATACAAATATTAAACTCTGTGAATACATTTAGTTATTCATATTAAGTTTATTGTTTTTTTTCTCCTTTTTTGCTTATGTGAATATTCTAAATAGAGAGCATATATGAGTATTCTCTAGCTAGGTTCATTCCATTCGTATTGTTGTCATTAGTATGTACGTATACAATGATCCAAGTCACCCAACCATCAACAAGAAAACCAAAAAAATACGTACTCATGAAATAAACATGACTATAATACTAAACACTATTTTATATGTATTAAACTTTTGTCACATTAACATCAATTCAAAGTTTAAAAATGAATAAACACACGACAACATTAGTCTTGCTATCACTACTACTTCTCGTGATCTCCGATCACACAAGGCTAACGATTCGGGTTCACTCGTACGTACCGTTTTGTGCATACACGTATGATTATTTTTCATATTGCCTTGAATTTCTCACGGGCAACTATTACAAACCCGGTAAAAAATGTTGTGTTCACATCGCAAAACTCAACGTAATTGCGAATCACAAGAAAGAGAATCCGAGGCTTTTGTGTAATTGCGTTGAGATGATGACGAGAGGTTATACGCCTCCAATGTTGGCTGATAAGATCCAACAGCTTCCTCTTCTTTGCAACACACATCTCAGTTTCCCTATCTCCTCTAGCATGGACTGCTCCACGTAAGTAATAAGTATATACATTATGTTTAAAAATATTGTAATTAGTTTGGTTTTCGATGTAGGACGATTAATTTGTTTAGTATGAACGTGTAATTTTGTTTTAGTTTTGAAATCAGCTAACTGTGTAGATATATATTGAATATAGTCAGAACTATGATTAACATATATATCATTTGTTTGTTGATTTTTATGCAGGGTTTAAGTTTAGAGAGGGTGAGTGGCCAAAATTGTTTTGGAAGGTTCACCAAAAAGGGATCTATGTGTGTATGGGTATTCAATTTTGGTTTTTTTTTTTTTTCATTTTTTTAAGTTCAAGTTTTTCAGTTTCTGAGTATTTTGGTCTAGAGAATCTGGCAACCAAATTAAATACGGAATTTAGTCTTGGTGTAGTTTTTCTATAAGTTCGAATTCAGGTCTCTTATTACAAGTTACAAAACTATATATATATATATATATTTCAAAACTATACATATTTAAACTATTAAATTTTGCAACAAATTCAAAGTTTTGATTTACTTTTTCTTTAATATAATATAAATCACTTTTAACTAACTAAAATCTTACTCCCGAAGTGAAACTTGAGTCGGAGATGTAAAAATTTTAGCACATGAAAGTTTTGAAAATGACGTAGACGAAAAAAAAGTATAATTAATGTAGATGGAAACCCACGTATTATATATACGTATGTTATTGAAAACAAAAGAATATAAATGTGAATTGTATTTGTTTTAAAAACAAATTTTTTTAACTTGTAAACCAAAGTATCTTTATTTCACGCGAGCTTACATAACCACTATAGAGAGATGGACAGTCTTGTTTTTTCTTTACTTATTTTGGAAAAAGTGAGATGGGCATTTGCTAACACAAGAAACCCGTTAACATTGAAACGATTAATAACAGGTAACATATCTAAAATAAAATAAAAAAATGCATGTATATTACATTTTATGATAATCGTTAGATGATGTTCGAAGATATGAATATTTAATATATATAATGCCATAATACATGCGTTTCTGTGTAGATATTCAAAAAAATAAAAGTTTCCTCTACCTAGAAAGGCTAGAACCATCCTGTCTCCTGACCATTTGTAACTTCAGTTTCTTTTTGGATCGAGACAACACATGTAAATAAGTCTATATATATATATACATGACATTACAAGGGGGAAAAAGTCTATATAGTAAGAAAATCAAATTAATTATTTAGAAACCGTGATTCAATATTTCTAAGAGAACGCCAGCTCCTGCTCAGTTGCATGAACATATCTTACGTTCTATCGCCACGAGCTCTTCTCCTTTGTCTCCTTCTTCTTTGTATCCTTTTTCTAATTACTGACCATTTCGCTTTGTATATAAGTTGTTAACATCTGTCTCGATTTTCGTTAGTTTTCAGTATAAAGTTACCAGTAAAGTTGTGGATATCTCTAAACCAAATTAATCACTGTGATACATTGTTGCTTGCTAGTTTTTCTGTTTACTATAATAATTTTGTAAAGTTTCACATAGATGAATAAACCATTAATATTAAATTATTATAAGTATTTTCTTTCCTTAGTAATTTTTATAATTATAAACTAATAATAATGTAATAAATTTAAATATTACGAAACTCATATCTTTTGAAATTTGTTTTTTTAGTAAGATTGATTAGTAAAAATTGCATAAAAATCTAGAAATCTAGTTTTTTTTTAATGAAACAAAAAACTCTTAAAAAACACTCTTTTAAAAACAGAGAAAATATTAAGTACCATAAACTTATAGTTCAAAACTAATTGATAGTAAAACTAACTTGTCTATGTTTTCTATATATTTTGTAAAAAAAATATATCCTCAAATTTCCAACATAATCCTATTAAAATGATAGTTTTTCTATCAGAGTCAAATCGAATCTCACTTTTTAAGATTGGTAACAAATAAAAAACATAAGATTAATCAGAGTCTAGTCTGGACTCTTCCATAAATTTGTGATTTATCCTGAGTAATCAAAAATAAAAAAAAATCTAACCTACGACATTTATATATATCTCAGTTCCACATTCTACTATGTTTAAATTCGGGTTATTTTATACGATAACGATTCTGAACGAAACTACAAATCTAGTTACCATCTAATTTGAGACGCACATTGATTAATGGGAGAGCATAAAAGTTAATTGTATTAGCCCCTAGTTATTTTTGCTTTAGGATTATAAAATATCTTAATTAGTGTAACATCATACTATAAATTTTTACTTTTGGCAACCACCTTATGTATATGTATACACTAACGCATATATATAGACAATAAAGCATCTATCATTTTATCTTACACTTATCTCTTTCAATCTCTCTCTTCAAAGTCCAAACCAAAAGAAAACATAAAAAAGAAAAAAAGAACTCTCTCTCTCTCTCTCGTCTTTTGCCACGTAGACATGGACGTCGAACATCACAACTCCGGCCACATCCGTAGACCAACGGTGGATATTCCGCCGAGAAAGCTTTTTCCCTCCGCCATATCTCCTTCATCCGCTTCAAGTCCCCGTCGCGATGATAAAGATCAGAAAGAATATTGTTACGACTCTGACTCCGACGATCCTTACGCCGGAGACCATTTCCGTATGTACGAATTCAAGATCCGACGGTGCACACGTAGCCGTAGCCACGATTGGACCGACTGTCCTTTCTCTCATCCCGGCGAAAAAGCTCGTCGTCGTGACCCTCGCCGGTATCACTACACCGGCGAAGTATGCCCCGAGTTTCGCAACGGCGGCGATTGCAGCCGTGGTGATGAATGCGGATTCGCTCACGGCGTTTTTGAGTGTTGGCTCCATCCGTGTCGTTACCGTACGGAAGCTTGTAAAGACGGCAAGCATTGTAAGAGGAAAATATGTTTCTTTGCTCACTCTCCACGTCAGCTTAGAGTTCTTCCGCCGCTGGAAAATTTCATCCCCGGCGGTAGCGGTGGATCTCCGTCGTCATCGCCGGCGTCGGTGTTGAGTAACAATAAGAATAATCGGTGTTGTATGTTTTGTTCTCACTCTCCAACGAGCACTCTATTGGGTTTAGCACGATCACCGTCGTCGTCTCCGCCTCTTTCTCCGGCTAATAAAGCCGCTGCGTTTTCAAGATTGAGCCGCCGTCGCTCCTCCGTGACGTACAAGGAAGTACTGAACGAGCTGATTAATTCTTTAGATTCCTTTAGTCTCACGGAAGCACTCGCGGCAGCTTCCTCCTCATCGTCTCCGGTCACCATGCCGGTTTCCACGGCGGCGATGCTTGCCTCATCAAATCTGAGCAATCATCACCGTCTTCCGCCGTGGGTTGATGTCGGAGACAGAGATCTCCAGTTTCAACAGAGTTCTCTTCAATTTGCTCTTTCACCTTCTACTCCAAGTTACCTCAATTGCCAGCTTCAGCAGCCTCCGCCGCAAAGCTTCTTCAGCGATGAATTCACACCACGCGGTGGCCAGTTAAGTGATTTCACGGCGGCTGCAACTGCGGCAGCGGAAGCTAGGGATAAGAATAGCTTTGAGGTTGGTTTTAGTGGCGATCTTGATCTTGGATGGGTGAACGATCTCTTGACATGATTAATGTGAACGATCGGCGATATTTTCCGGCGACAAGGAATTATAAAGAGGCGGAGTTCCGTCGTGGAGCTATTGTTTATTGAAAATTGTTAATTTTTACGATTTTTTCCCTGAGAGCTAATTAAGAGTTTGTACTATGTCGTGCTTTTAAATATTTACTTTCTTCGTAGTTAATTATTTAAAATAAAGGGTCCATAACTTCTATTGTGATATTGATGATCTCTTGGAACTTGTAATATTACTATATTTGGATCAAATTCCTATGTAATATTACTTCAAAATATTCTGTTTAATAAAAAAAAGTTGTTGTAATTAATTTTCATTGTCTTTCATTAGTGTCCAATAAAAGATACTCC